TTGGATTCGCTGCAGCTGACCCGTCATCGCCTGTTTCTTCGGTCAGGTCGATTGTGATAGGCTCCCCAACAGATGCATTTGGTGTAGAAGCCATGGATTGTGGCTGTGAGGTCGACGGTTGTAACGAGGTTGCGTTCGAGCTAGCCTGGCGTGCCCGGGGAGGTTTGTAACCAGTTGGAATCGGGGCAACTGCGGGCATTTGCTTCTGAACTTGAATCTCATATAGTAGATTGTTGTAGATCGTGCCGAGATCATGAAGCTTGTTTTTCCACTCGATAGCCTCTTGCTTGTACTGCTCGACTCTTTGTTGATGCCGGGAGCACACACGTCGCAGCATGGCATTCTGCTCAAGTAGTGTCTGTTGTTTTGTTTTACCCGTCGCCGGATCCATGGCCGTCAGGTCCGACGCCAGTGCCCACTCCTGCTTATACTTGTTGCGCTCCAGCGTCAGCTGCTGTACCTTATTCCGCAGAGTCGCAAGGCGCAAGTTTGTCCGATCATCCGAAACTTCGATACACCTGACATGGATATTCGGAGCTGACGGCATGTATCCCAATGGGCCCCCATAAAGTGGATATGGCGAGACATACTCTGGCTCGGCAAACACTCGCTGAAGAGCTTCACGGTTTGTACTGTCGAAGATGTCTTGATGATCAAGAGAGAACCGTTCCTTGGTAATCTCGCTGACGGAGGGCAGATCGAAGGATTGGTCAAACACACTAAAAGTCGCTGACATGTCTTCCTTGCCTCCTTCTCCATTACCCGCGCCCTGGATGTCAAAGTTGAAAGAAACATCGCCATCAGGGATGTCCAATGGAAAATCGCCCGAAGGGTCTTCGAACAGAAGGTCTATAGAGTCGAAGACGGCATCGGACTGTTGTTTCTCAACATCGCTTGGCGTATGAGGGCCCGTGCCTCCTTGTTCAGGTTGTCCAGAATCTAGTGATAATAACGAGGGTGTTTTATCCGGAGACTCTGTGGTTGAATATTGCGACATCTCTGTGGCTTGCCTTTTTCTAGATTGGTCCCAGGAGACACAGTCTTCAGGGAACGCCTCGTCGCCATTCCGCTTCCGCTGCAAGACTGCATCAATCTCCTGCAAAACAAGTTCGGAATCGAAGAGAGGGTCGTACAACTCCTCCGTGGCGTTATTGGAATCGTCAAATGCCGAAAAGTCTATCTCTAATTGTGGAGAACAGGTCGTGGTATCTGCCCACGACTGTCGGGACTCGACCACCTTGTCGGCCGGAGATTGTTCTTCTGAGGGTGCATCATTGACTTCCACTTGCTTCTCATCGTTGTGATCCTTGTGGGTATTTCCGAGCGGTTGTGTGCAGTGTCGCGGATCGGCTGGGGTTTCTGACGTTGCGTTCACATCTCTGGTCGGCAGTTTCCGTTCTTCATGTTGGGAGGACTTGGTGGAGAGCTGCAGCTGGGACCCAGGGGGAGGTGTAAGCCCCAGATCATTCACGTGCAGAGGTAGTGATGGGGGAGATGGAAGGCCCTCAAGATCATGAAGACCATGGGGGTCTGGAGGACAGGTCTGGAAAGAGGTAGAAATACCTTCAGCCATGCTTCCATTCATCCCAGCGACAAATTCAGGCCCAGTTCAAAGACGGCCAAATGAATGTGTACCGTGCTATGCCGTTCAATATATCCTAAGGAAGGTGGCGATAACACTTAGGAGATGAAGCGCTCCATCTACTCATAGCCCAGCTCTGCAGATGGTAAGAATGAGGATATCCCTCGCTTCGAGACTGCTGTGAAGCGTACCTCTTGAGAGCAAGTATTCAGATCCCAAAACGACTGTGATTTGAGACTTGTCCCACGGGAAAGACGTATGGGAAGTAGATAACAGGGAGAGCCAGCAGGTGCCCCGATAAATAGCCTGTCAGCAGGCTCAGGCTAGCCACTGGATACGCGCCCTATTGCATAATCCGGTTTGAGTGCAACAACTGTACAGTTCGGCCGATGTTGGGAGAAATCGAAATACCACACGTGTCCAGGGTGCTCGATATAATCCCCGAACGAGTGAGAATGACCAGAAAAGGCCAGGTCAGGTCAGTCACGCAGAAGTAAAGAAGCAAAGAAGTACATCGCAGTAGAAAAGATTCCCATTCCGTCCAAATTTAATCCGAAATGAAGTTCTCCGCCTTTCACACCGCCCTATGGACCGCTCACGTGCCCCACATAGTGTCCGGCGCCAAGCTGGGCGGCCGTGCCTTTAAGGCCGGCAGGAAGCTGACGGGCACCGCATCTTCTTTACTTTAGTAACTGGCGACTCCCCGATTCCCCGTCCCTCCTCGCCTCTTCAGCGTCCTTGCTTCTGGGCTCGTCTACAACCTTCAACATGAGCGTTATACTTTGCACTGGTATGCAGTTTTCTGAGCGATAACTGGTCTTCAATATCTTGTGTCTTTCCTGGGAAGAATTGACTGACCAATGTTCTATAACTCGTGATTTACAGCGGGCTACGACCACACCATTCGGTATGTCAGACTGTGTTACTTGCGCCGCGAAAGTTGACGTCGCTAACTTGGCCCAGTTTCTGGGAGGCCTTGTCGGGGATTTGCTCGCGCACTATACAGCATCCCGATTCCCAAGTTAATCGCTTATGCATTACCCCCGACAAACGGTACTTGGCAGCCGCCGGCCACAATAATGTCAAGCTGTATGACATCAAATCTACCAATCCCAATCCAGTCATGACCTTCGACGGCCATACAAACAACATCACTGGCGTCGCGTTTCACTGCGAGGGAAAGTGGATGGTCACCAGCTCGGAAGATGGTACGGTTAAAGTCTGGGATACCCGTACAGGCAGCCTGCAGCGCAACTACGCGCATAAAGCTCCAGTCAACGACGTTGTAATCCACCCCAACCAGGGCGAGCTCATTAGTGGGGATCGCGCTGGTATTGTCCGGGTTTGGGACCTGGGTGAAAGCGTCTGTACTCACCAGCTGATTCCTGAGGACGACGTTGCTGTTCATAGTGTTAGTGTCGCAAGCGATGGATCCCTGCTCTGCGCTGGAAATAAGAAGGTAAACAAGACAATTACTCGCCGCGTGTCTTCATCACTGACCTTGAGCGACCGGCCTATAGGGTAATGTCTACATCTGGCGCATGATCCAAGACGCTGAGATAACGCGCATCGTTCCGATATGTACCTTCCAGGCGCACAAGGACTACCTCACTCGCGTTCTTCTCTCCCCTGATGTCAAGCACCTCGCAACGTGCTCCGCAGACCACACGGCCAAAGTATGGAACCTTGATCTTGATTATCCGCCGGCCAAGATTGCTGCCGCCAATGCCGCCAAGGCCAAGGCCAGAGCCATCTCTTCGCCCGAATCGAATGACAGCCCTTCTTCCCCTGAATCTACGCAACACGTGAACAACGCATCTCCCAACGGGACCGACTTTGAAGCCAACCCATTCAGTCTCTTCCAAGCAGCGACACCTATAAACAACGAACCCCAGCAGTCCTTCCCTGTACAACCGGACGGACCCCCCATGGACTCCGCGACAGGAACACTTTTCCTAGAGACCACGCTTGCAAATCACCAACGGTGGGTCTGGGATTGCGCTTTCTCCGCTGACTCTGCGTATCTCGTCACAGTATCCAGCGACCACTACGCCCGCCTATGGGAGCTGGCTTCAGGTCAGATCATCCGTCAATACAGTGGTCATCACCGCGGGGCGGTATGCGTAGCGCTGAACGATTATTCCGAGCCGCGTTGAGAGTTGTGTCTTACATTATGAAGCTGCCTAGAGGCAGATGTATGCGTCTTTTAACCTTTCTTCTCTTTCAATTGTCTTGTATGGTTCAGGGCTAATGGTCAGCATGGTGCCTGGTTTGGGGCCGGAGGCACGAAGGCGAATCGCCTTCTGCATTGGAGTTCAGGTTTTTGCTTGATTCCCTGTGTTGCGTCATTGGATGTTAGCGAGTAATCCTGGTTCGATATCCGTATATGCATGAGTTTATTGTATGATCGGTTTCATGGTTGTAATTGTTTCCAGTCATCTAACGCCATTCCTTAATAACATAAATCTTCCAGCGACTGTCAAGGCAGTGGACCGGTATTTGCCCCACAATTGTATTGTTTAGGCAAGGGATGAGCAGTAGGTATCCTTATTATCAATATAAGTAAACTGTCACGCTAATTGTGAGATCTTCTCCAGAAGGTGAGTTTCGAATGTGAAATTATATATAAATCTAGTAGTATATGTATGATATGTTCTCTACTGTAGGTGGATGCAGAGCACTGTGCGAATGTTTTCTTGGTATTGCCTGTGTGACCACAGTACTAATTAGAGTCAAGAAGTCCCCGCGCATAAGAGTGTATTGATGTAGCAAGTTTGGGCCTACCAATCTTTGCTAGGGTGAGCAATGAAGTACAACTAACTAGGCTCAAGAAGGCACCCCGCCGCTACTTTGGGTACAGTGAGATGAGATGCCCCATGAATCTTGAATACTCTAGAGGAAACCTTAAAAGGGTCAACATGACTGTTATGTATATACTACCGGTGTCAATTACAACTCTCATCTGAGATAAATACTCCTCTTCTTTGAATTGAATTCTTAGCATACGCACACTCGTAATATCATAACAGAGTCGTTAATATCGTAACCTATGCAAGCTGGATGGCATGCGCAGCGCCCTCCCAATTTATCAAAAAGGAAGTGAGGCAACCGCAAGCTCAACTCAGACCCAAAACCGAATCCCGTCTAAGTTGAATATGCCCCAGTCTATATCCATCGCGTCTATACAGCATAACCCGAACCAGAATGGCAAACCAAACAAGAAAGACGTACAGTATACATAGCCAGATCAGTATATATTGGCGGGCCCCTGCGATGCTCACACCTTTATGTTCTATTTATCATCGTCGTACAGGCGATTTTCTCATTCGGGGTATGGATCTCAGGGTATTGGATGAGAGGAGGAAAAGGGACCACAATCTGCGAGAGCATGTGTGGTCTGGAATAGGAAAAAAAGAGCTCACTCCGTAGTTGCGGGGCTGTGTGGATGCTCTTTCTCACGCACATCAGGGGAAGCTGTGCTGCTAGGGCTCGCAGTGCCGACACTATTCTGCTTGAGCTGCTTGCGGGTTTTGCGGCCACCACAGCAAGAGGCACAGCAGGAGCCAAGCTGGAGGATAAAGGCAATCAGGTTGAAGGCGGAGGCGACCCACATGAAAGCCATCATGCGCGTGCCGATCCAGGCGTCGATGTTGAGGTCTTCGCTGGCGGAGGTGAAGACGTTGCGGAAGATGATGAACATGACGGTTGCAACGACGGAGGCAACAACGGTGAAGAGAGCGGTCACGAAGGTTAGGATGAGGAAGGGAAGAGAACGGAGAAGCACAAAGGTTCGACGGCGATGTTGCGGGTGGGTTTGATTGATGACTGGGTCGGAAGAAAGAGCTTGAGGAGGCCGTGAGGAGACGGCAAGTGGAGACAAAAAGATGAGGATGAAGGTTAAGACGGTAGCGGTGATAAAGAGACCAAACATCCAGTGTGAGGCTATGCGGGCGATGTGCAGAGCCGACGTGATGTTTGCAGGAAGAGCAACTGCAGGTTTGTTAGCAAAGGGAACGTTTTCCATGTTAGAAGGAGGAGCGTACTCGTTGCGCCGGATAGCAGTTCACTGAGGATGATCTCGACAGGATTGAACCAGTAGAGGGGTTTGGGCGAAGAGCAGTGGGTGATGCCCTGGTCCTGATAACCTTCGCAAAAGTTCCATAGTCCCACCTGGTAGAAGTCGTGCAGACCGATTGTGCGAGCAATGGTATCGATCAGGACCGCATTGGGGGTGGACAATGGGATGATATTCGCCAGGTTGATCTCGAGGAAGTAGGTCTGTCGGAGAACGGGCTTATCGGCGACATTGCCAATGCAGACCAAGATCAGAAAGATCCAAGCGATGAGATAGCAGAAGGAACGGAGGATACGATGCCAGAGCACCTTCGATCTGCTCCGGCCGACCTGCGGACGTCCAGGAGCTTTCCTGAACAGGGGCAGCTTTGCCATGGACCGCTGTCAAGCACGTGGTGGTGGAGAGGGCAGGTCCGGAATTTGCGGATAATAGAGTCGGAGAATAGACGAAGAGGATAGAGGAGAAGATGGATGGAAATGATGTAGAAAGAGACCCAGATCAAGAGCAGGGCGTCTAGTTAAATTCTAATACGTAGTATAGAAGAGATCTGGGAAGACATCGACTGGATGACGTTTACGCCCCCCGTGAACCACGTGCCAGGATTCGATGGGGAGAGAGATAGAGAAAGGACCAGCGGGGAGGGAAACACCGGCAACCACGGGATTAGGTTGACGGGATCAGGAGAGGAAGCTGGGGATACATCCAGGAGAAGAGAACCAGAGATTGGGAAAGAAAAAAAAAAAAAAAAAAAAAAGGGGAGCGAGGAACAGGAAGAGATGGCGGGAATGGGGGGAAAAGAATAGGGAAAGGGAAAGCAAAGTGGATGGCGAGAGCGACGTATACTCAGTACACAGATGGATGACTGAATATTACCGAACTGATCTGATCTGCTGTGGAATTGAATTGGGCTTTAAGGTTGAAAAAAGTTAGACGCCTTGGCAGCCAACCAGAATGAGAAAATGTGGAATAAAATAAATGGGGAGTAGAAAATAAAATCAAAACAATAATCACAATAATAATAAAAACAACAATGAGGATTTCACACGAGCCGTAACGCTGGCGGCTTCAATAATCTTACTCAGGGAGAAAGTCTCAGTCTCAGGGCCGCAGCAGGTATTCTTAGCAGCGGCGCTGGTCTAGACCCTGATGGGAACATTTTTGCGATGGTGGCAGGAACTTTCCTTGCCCTGCCTCTTTTCCCCTCTTGGGCGGCAGTCTGACTGTGGACGAGACAGTGGAGAAGGCCGATCATGAGCAGATTTTATCCTTGCTCTGAAGTAATCTGAAGTAAGTACAGCAATCACCCCCCGTTGATCGAGGGGCTGTTACTGCGTGGACGCCGTTGACCAGCACCAAAACCACCCCAGTTCGTGGCTGGTGATGGGCTGGAATACAGTGATGATTGGCATGAGTTAGCCGCTGATGGTTTTTCCCGATTACCCAATGCAGTGGGGATCGTGGCTGATCTGGCAATCCTCACGACATTCAGGAGCCACTCGCCAAGAAAGACTAGCAGTGACCCTCATAGGGCCTGGAATTAAAAGTCACTGCCTATTCTGGCGTTTCGGCAACAAATCGGTTCTGTCAGTGACTGTTTGGCCAAGACTGGCTCAAACAACGTCATCGACAGGTGGGCCCCACCCTTGGTGGCTTTTTCAATTCTGGCTGCCTGGGCTGATGAAATAATTTAATTGGCCGGAAGGACTGGGAGGATTTTCCATGCGGGCGATCTGCCAGTGAAATCCAGGCTAAGATCGGCTGTTGGCCAGCTTGGAGCTTTCCTCTCCGGGACAGCGGGGCGGACAGTCAGGGGGGGTGGCAACCAATGGCTGCCGGGATCGGCCCCCCTAAAGTAAGCCAGTACCCTGAAGGCGGGAAACCCTGCGTGGTAACAATACCTGTTACCTACCTTACCTACCTAAAAATACCTTACCAGCCCAGCATCCATGGTTGACTTCGTCGTAAGACATCATTCCGCGCCCGGTGATTATTCTGCTTCTTCAGGGTCCTGATCCATCCGGTGCTCCATCTGGTGCATCTGATCGCATCGTGTGGTCCTCCTCGGACAGATACACTGCTGTATATATATCCAAAACCTCCGAGCCTCCACAGACCGGCCTCTTGACTCTAGACCACCTCTTGTCATGCGGTTGATCGCTCACCTACTGCCGCTCCTGGCAGTGGGCGTTTGGCCTTCTCTGGCACAAGATGATAGCACCACCACGACGACGACCGGCAACAATGGCGGCCTGACTCTCGAGGGGACCGTCACTTCGTCCATCAGTGAAGCGACGCTGCCCACAGGTCACTACCTCTCCTACACTACCACTATGACCCTCGACGATGGACATACTGTCACGAGCACCGGGGCGCACTCCGCGACAACCACCTCCAACTCTACAACAGCATCCGGAAATTTCACCACGACGGTGACTTCCTCGTCGCAATCTCTCACATTGCTGGTCGGAGGACAGACTGGTCGAGTCAATGGCACCAACGCTACTACAACAGCGACGTCCACTGCATCGTCGACTCCGGTCGTCAACACACAGCCTTGCAATGGCCACGCGGAGTTTTGCGCGCGCAAGTACTCCAACATCACCATGGTTGCTGCCCACAACAGCCCGTTTGTCAAGCCAGGCAATGCGGCCGCCAACCAGGCATTGGACGTTACCGCTCAGCTGGACGATGGGATCCGGATGCGTAAGTTGCCCGATCGACGAAGCTTAGCCTGTGGATAGAATCTTGCTGACACCCCGGACAGTGCAATTTCAAACACACCTGGTCAACAACACCCTCTACCTCTGTCACACCAGCTGCGACCTTTTGAACATGGGACCTTTGGAAGACTACCTGACGACGGTCACGAAATGGGTGAAAACCCATCCATATGACGTGGTCACCATCTTGATAGGCAACTATGATTATGTAGACCCCGGCAACTTCACGGGTCCTATCCAGAACTCTGGCCTCATGGACTATGTGTTTACACCCTCGAAGATCCCAATGGCGCTGGATGATTGGCCTACGATGTCCAGTATGATTCTGTCTGGCAAGCGAGCCGTTGTCTTCATGGACTACCAGGCCAATCAGACGGCCTACCCGTGGCTCATGGATGAGTTTTCGCAGATGTGGGAGACGCCGTTTTCGCCCACAGACGCAGCCTTCCCTTGCACAGAGCAGCGCCCGCCGGACTTATCCGCGCAGGACGCCAAAGACCGGATGTACATGGCCAACCACAACCTGAATCTCGACATCAATATTGCCAGCATCAGTCTGCTGATCCCCAATACTGCCTCGCTCAACCAGACCAACGCGGTCTCCGGCTACGGTAGTCTGGGAAAGATGGCCCGCAACTGCACGGGTAAGTAACAGCTGACTGTGGTCTGTGTAACATGCTAATCTCGTTACCTCTTAGCTATGTGGGACCGGCCGCCTAACTTCCTTCTGGTGGATTACTACAATTACGGCAACTTCAACGGGTCCGTGTTCGCGGTGGCCGCCGAGATGAACAACGTGACCTGGGATGGGAAATGCTGCGGCGCAGCATCTGCCGCGACGAGCGTGATGCCTGGGGTGAGTGTGATGAGTACGCTGCTTCTGATTGCGGGAGTGCAGTATATGGCATCGATATTTTAGTGTTGCTCCGAGCGTATATAGTGGGAGTTTGGAGTTGATGGATACACTTATATTATGACTCACGACTGTACAGTTAGAATTGAACCTAGTGGTTAAACTAAACTCATGAACAGATTTCTTTAGGCCTATGTAGCTGCATCGATAGCTCCCAATATACCCCAGTCGACAAAGTAGTAACTCCGATGCCCCTAACCCAAACCAGCTAGCGCCCACTCAGCTGACCACCACCACCACCACCAAACCAACTCCGCACTCAATATCATCACCACAACTTTACACAGTAGACTACTACTACAACAAGCTACTCAATCCACACCCGGGGGCCAATTCACAACCCTATACCTCAACCCCCCACACCAAATCCCACCTCCGATACCAACCAATCCCCCCTCGTCCGGGATATACCCAATCCAACCAAAATGGTCGACATCCTCCCCCTCAGCAGCTACCCCTCCTACATCGACCTCCTACCCTCGATCCAAACCTGCAACATCACGAACCTCCCCGAGAACTACTTTCTAAAATACTACCTGTACCATGCACTGACCTGGCCCCAACTATCCTTCGTGGCCGTGGTTCGGCCCAAGAACGGCTACAGCAAGTATACCACCGAGAATGGACAAGGAGCCGGCAGCGCCGCAGAACAATACCCCAAGGTAGTGGGATACGTGTTGGCAAAGATGGAGGAGGAGCCGACGGATGGGGTGCCGCATGGACATATCACGAGTATTTCTGTGATGAGGACGCATAGACGCCTGGGGATTGCGGAGAGGTTGATGAGGATGTCTCGTACGTTTTATTCCCCCCTTCCATTTATATATCTGTTATTGTGACTTTGAATGTTTGTGGAGAAAACGCATGCTAATCATTCTGGGGATGGTGTTGATAGAACGCGCAATGGCCGAATGCCACCGCGCACAATACGTGTCCCTGCACGTGCGCGTATCCAACAAAGCGGCGCTGCATCTTTACCGCGATACTCTCGGATTCCAGGTCGATAGTGTGGAGAGCAAGTACTATGCGGATGGGGAGGATGCGTATGCGATGCGCATGGATCTCTCGGGCATGTTTATCAATTGGGCGGAGATTGAGCGGAAGGATCGCGAGCGGGCGGAGAAAGATGAGAAGGATGCCGATGAGGGTGATGAGGTGGGTGAGTTGGGGAAGAAGGAGGAGAAGGAGAGTACTGAGAAGATGGTTAAGGTGAAGGTTGGGCGTGGGTTGGGTGTTGGGGATTTGGTTGAGAAGAATGAGGCGCAGGCTTCTTCTCAGTAATTCTCTCTTTTTATAAAATGGTTCTAGGTTCGGGGGAAAAGAGGGGGGTTGTCTTTCTTGTATAAAATAGATGTTATACGATGGTTTTTGGTAGATCTTGTTTGGTCTTGGGTCTTGCTTGGTATTGGTATGGAACTGGTTGGTGCATGGTTCTAGATTTCATGTTGAAAATGCATGCTAATGACCACATTGTACCCCGGGTTGACGCCGGTATGATAAAGAAAGTAATAAATACATAAGAGAATCCCAATTCCAGTCTCTTCCATGAATATAAACACCGCTATGATCATGCATCGTCCCATAAAGTAATTCAAATAATAATGTCCTGGCCATGGCCCACTAATTGCGCCGTGACGCCCCCCGATTATATTGATCGGAGCCCTTCTTGTCTTTCTCATATGACTTCTCTGCTTCTTTGCACGGCTTCCTTTCGATTGCCGACTTCTCGCTCTTTCCCTTGACCGGCATCTTTTCGTTACTTGATGTGCTCGGTGTGCTGATAGAACTGATTTCACTATCTGATTCGGCCAAGGACCGCGCCGGGGATGGAATGGAGGTGAAAGACTGCACTGTTGAGCGGCTCTCGCGATTAGTGTCAAGCTCCAATCGCTGCATGTGCTGCTCGAGTGGCATCTCAGCACCATCTCTCTGCACCTCACGTGCTCGCTGCTCCTGACGCCGGCGGGTGCGTTTGAGCCGCCGCTTCTCGCGTTGCTCTTCGCGCGCTCGACGCAATACATCTCGAAATGCTTTCCGCGTGGCTCGGGTCTCCTCTTTGACCGCTCGCTTGTCTGACTGCTTCTGGTGCTGCTCGCTTGGCGAGTCCCATCGCCTCCAGCCGTGTCGCCAGCCGCTTCGTCCAGATGTACGGTTCTGGCGTCGCGACTGCTGTAGAACGTCAAGCTGACGCCGCAGACCCACGGCGGCTTCGTACAGCTCCCGGTCATGATGGTCGTTCAGTGACAAAAGCTGCGCGCGGACCGTGGCTAGATCAGAGGCGCTGAGCTCGGACGTTGTTGACAGGGAATCAATCGAAGAGAAAGACAAGTCGGATGCCTCCGAGTCGATTGAAGCCCGGCGAGTCCGTTCGGGTTGAGCTGGAGCAGTGCGTTGAGGCGTAACCGTCGTAGTCGTAGTCGTAGTCGAAGCCGTAGCCGTAGGCGTGGTCGTAGGTGTATGTGCAGTGCTATTCTGTACGTACCCTGGCTTAGGGGGTTGGTTCGCGATCCAATCATCGCGAGATGGACTGACAAAGCCTGTGAAGGCATCCTCCACCTTTCGTCCCTGGAGTCCGGCCTGCTCCTCGATCCAGCGACTGTGAGCAAGAGCCTGTTCCTCCACCTGCCTTCCATAATGTTGTGCTTGCTCAGTGAAGCGCTCTCCATACTTTTGGGCCTGCGAGGCCAACGACGCTATCCAATCTAAGGGTCCTCCTCCCTTTGACATGCTTGGATCCTGGTAAGGAACCCCATAAGGGGGAGCAGTCCAGCCCCATGGAGGCTGAGGAGGGTAGTGACCGGGCGGGGGCGGCGGCGGAGGTGGAGGAGGGTAATGGTATGCGGGATGAGGCGGATACACAGCAGGGCTGTATGGTGCAGGATGCCCATAAGGTGCGTAAGGTGTAGGAGGGGTAGGATATTGTGGGTAGGCATATGGCCCTGGTGTATAAACAGCACTGACTGGAGGCGCACCAGGCTGCTCAGCAGCTGTTGGTGTCACAGGCGACTGTTGTAAGCGACCTCGACCAGCGTCGGACGCCTGGGCGACTCGGTTTTCTCGTGTTGTAGCAGCCGGCCAACACTTAGGACACAAAGAAGATCGCGGCGCACTCTGAGGGTCCATCACGTAGACATATACGACACGAGCCGAGCGGGGTTCGAAGAAGTATTGGTTCCACTCCATTATTACGGCAGCAATCCGTCTCTTGCGTTCTTCATCCGTTTCCTGGGGCCGATCCTTGCGATCACGCTGAATCTCTGCTCTGACTTGACGGGGCAGTTGTGCCGAAGTAGACGCTAGACCCAAATGCGGTGGAAACAAGTATCTCAGGAAAACGTCCCAGTCCTGCTGGGTGATGTCTTCCGTCTTCTGCGCGGTCCAACAACGAGGTCGACGCCGGATATCCTTCGATTGGCTGCGCGGAAAGATCGTTACACAATGTTCCACAATGTCCCCCTGACGGCTTGAAGTCGGAGGCGGTCGCTCCACGAAGTATTCCGCAGCAGATGTGAAGTGGGTAGGCAAGCTGGCGGAGGATGCTGGAAAATCATGACTGGCGGAGCTGGACGCAGGACTTGAGGGCGAGGTGCCTAGGGTTGTCTCCCCCCCACGCAGACGTAGCAGGACACGATTCACTTCCGCAGTTGCAGCGGCATTTCGGCTGTTTGCTTGTGCGAGTAACGGGTCGACCGCAGAGTATGGCGGAGGAGGAGCTTCGTCGGATTCCATTGTAGCGAGGACAGGTATTGTTGTAGAAGTGTGAAACCAAAATCACGGACCGAGTTGACCTTCAGGTTCGTAACCCGTCATCCATCGCGCATGGGAAGATATGCAACACCCACCAGCCTTCCCGGACACACTCAGGTACGGAGACGCTGGAAGGCAGCAGGATTATCTAGATTCTGAGCACGATAATCAGCCCTGGCACTGCACGGGCGAGCAAGCGAACCACACGGCAGACGTAGGAGAGTTGAGTCCTACTCTTGGGTAAGATGATCAGGAATTCAGAAGGCCAGAGAACGGGATGGCCGGCAGGTGGAGGGAGAGACAAGATGACTTGGAAGTGTCTCGGGCGGCGGAGGACCAGCGGCGGATGTGATCACGGGGCAGCCGGCGCTTGATTGGCGCCACCCCTCCGCCTTATCGAGTCGATCCTCAAGCCAGACTGACTAGTAATATTTCTCTCTCCTCCACTCAACTATCGATTCGTCTAACGGTGCTCCCCCCCTACCGCTACCCGGCGTTTCATATTTACTTCTAGTGGGCTGCCCCAGATTTATCAAATGTCAATCAAGTTGTATTTGACTATGTCTGCAATAATTGATTCTATCCTATCGCAACTCGTATGCAGCAGCAACAAATAAGCAATTAACCGGCCTATATACTGCATGGCGCCCAAACTCCCCTGCCTTGATGCCTTGGATATGTCGCAAGATGAGAAATATAATCACGATATAGTGCAAGGGAATATGTACCCCGATGAACAGAAAGATGCGGGTATTAAGGATCTATACTGCTAATCCCAAGCGTCTCCCCAACCATCGTCCTCTTCAGTGTCTTTAGGTGTCGTGTCGATCTTTTTCGCTGGTGCGACAACGGTCCTGGGCTTAGCCGTGCTACTGCGGCTAGATGGCCGTGATGCCGAGGTGGGACTGGATTTATTCAAACCCTTTGGCAATGGCTTCTTTGACTTGGACTGGGCGGCCAGCCAACCCGCAAAGTCCGGCTCGCCGCCATCATCGTACGGAACGGGGGCTGCTTTAGGTGCAGGGGCAGGTGCAGGAGCAGAAACTGTTGGACTGCTAGTTGCTGTCGCACTGAACGGGTCCTCCTCTACTTGCTGCTCGTCTTCATCATCGTCCATTGCACCCCACGCGTCGTAGACATCTTCTGTATCATCCTCTTCTTTAGCCAAAGTTGGTGGTTGCTCAGACATGGACCGGTTCAAAGACTGAGTTGCAGGCCGTAGTGTCTCTTTCTGCACCGACGAGGACGCCCTCGTTGGGCGGGGAACAGAAGCTGGACGAGCTGGTTCAGGCTCGACCGGTTTAGCACCGTTGGCGGTGGGTTCGATTTCGCCGTTGGCCGCCGTGAGCTTATTGGTGAACGAGGAAATCGCCCATCCAGCCCATGACTTATCGTTGGATGTGCCGATACGGGCTGTATCCTTTGTCGGATCTGCACTGGCTGCCGGAGGAATTACCGTGTCTGCCATTGTGCTGGCGTACTTCCGGATACGCTGGAGATACAAGTCGAGTGTCTTGTTCGCCTGGTCTCTGACCATCCTATATGAAGCATTAGACCCGATCCATGAGAGAAAGTGAATGTTCTTACTTTTCCTTATCCAAAAGGGAAGGGCAGATAGCCGGAAGCACTTTTGTCGCACAATCTTCCTCGGTAAAGAACTCCAGCGTCGCTCCGAGAGCGAGCAGACCAGCACTCCGGGCGTGGACGAAGGGATCCCGAAGAGACCTGGTGAAGGCCGCAATAAGGACCTTGGATCTCGACTGTATCTGGTCAGCATTGCGTATGAGGCTTTTAGGAAGAGCCACTCACGCCTTGTCCGAGGTTCTTAGCTATCTTGCCCAAGCAGATTGTGGTATTTGTACGGATTCCCGGCTGCTCATCATTGGCGGTACGTGCGAGGAACTTGAGCAGATCACCGTTGATGACACGGTCGCTGAGCTTGTTGATGATTGGCAAAACAGCCTTGACCGTCTGCTCTCGGACGACGGGTGCGGCATCAGTGAAGCCGGAGGTCTGCAGAACATGGGATTAGCATCGAAACCAGCCGGGGTCTGTGGTGACTAACAATCTGAGGAAAGATCTTGTCATTGACGATCTTTTGAGGCAGGTTGTCAATCATCACCGGGAGGTTATCGAGCAAGCAGACCCGCAGCGCTCGATCCGGGTTTCCAAAGAGTCGGACAACAACAGGCGTAAGTCTCGAGTTGAACTCTTCCTGGGATAACTTGGCCCCGATCTTCAAAATAGCCCCCAGTACCTTCGGGCCGCCTCCACCAAACTCAACCGACTTGAGCAACTCTGGAAGCACCTTCATCTTGAAAAATTCCTCCGGGAAGTCGTCCGACAGCTCATCAAGCTCACTACTTCAGTCAGCATCCACTAGTGGCAGCCTGTCCCTAATGAGGCATTGACTCACTTGACAAACTCCTCTCGCTCTGCATCGTTCTTGAGCCCCAAACTCTCAATATCGTCCGTCAACCGGATAAGTGGGGTTTCGAAGAAGCCGCCGCTCTTCTTCCCCTGCTCAACAAAGTGGGCAGGGCTCAGGCGCAGTTTGGGATTCGCCGTGCACAGGCGTTTATAGCTCTGATGCATACTGGGCGGGATGTTGGTCGTCTTGCCCACCTGGTCCCCGCCAGTGAAGTTGCCATTGTAGACCTCGTAAACTAGTATTCCAAGCCCGTAAGAATCAATCGCAGTCAGCGGGTTCCGTTTGATCGTATCCCATCCGCTCTTGACGACCTCTGGAGGTGTGAATCGAGCCGCGTCAGGAACGAGACTACCATATGTCTGCAAAGCGCTGTCAGCAAGAGCGCATCTCGTCATGCAGAAGAGTATAAACCGACATAAATGACCGCATTCTCATCATTCATCGAACTCAAAATGTCGAAACCACCCAGCTTCCATTCCCCACTCTCGCTTGTGAATACCGAGGAGGCCCTGACAACACCATGAACAGAGGCTGCATCTCCGTTGATGAACTTGAGCGTAGACTATAGAACCGCATACGTCAGAACAATCACAATCGCAACCACAACCACCATAGTCACAACATACCGCCACAGTATACAACCCCCATTTGGACGTCTCCTCGCTCAGACTCCTCCGCTTAACATGCCACGAAAGGGGCACGACTCGTTCCGTGACAATATAAAGGCTAGCTTCCGTCTATAACCCGTCAGCCGTTCCATCCATAAAACATTATACACGAACTATCGTGTGCCCAATTACCTCTATCGTATCCAAGACCTTAATCACACCCGGATGTCTCAGCGTCCGGGACTTGCGCACCGCATTCTTCGCCAACGGTAGACGGGACTTATTGGAAGCAATATCGAAGGTAAAGACGCTGCAGGGCGAACCGTCTTCCTATACGTACCAAGCGCCGATCAGCAATCGCATTAGCCCCATGGGGGGTTTTGATTCCGCGGGCCCGCATGACATCTCATACCCGTTTCGTAGCATTGTGTAGCGTCCAGATCGAGTCGGAGAGGTCGACTCTGTCTCCGAGTGAATAAGGGAATGAACTACCCTTTGCGATCGCCGATGCGACGGCAGATTTGAGGAAATCCATGGCTGGTGTGGGTGGTGCGGACAGTCGTGGGTGTTCCTCGCGGAGGGGGCAGCTAAATTAACTACTAGCTGGTCTTTAAAGATAACTACCACCGCAGCGGCGATAGTGGAGGAACGTCTTCGGCGGGGAGGGAAGAAGAAGGGGAGGGTATATAAACGGATAAAAGAAAGAAAGGGAAAAAAGCCTTAGAGAAACGACACGTATGCGACCGATCTCTAGTTCAAGGCAGAACGACAAGAGATTCAACGGCCCCCAAGTTTCATAGGGAGAGAGATCGGGGACATGGGAATAATACAACGGATTTGTCCCCCTTTGGCGCTGCCCGTGGTACCCCGCCCCCAATCGGGTTTAGGGTCTTTTTGTGGGAAAGCTCCCCATTTTATCGCCGGAGCTTGTCTTTCTTTCTTTCTCTTTAGCTTTAACAACATAACACACACGCTCTCCTGTTTCTATATCTATCTACCACGACAGACGCTTCTGCTGAATGATAGCAGCAACGACACTAATACCAACATGATGCTCTTTTCGCTCTTATTATCAATAAACAATACTCACCTCCAACTAACCCTTCACATCGAGCTGAGCTAACACAAGGCACGTCCCATAACTTCCTAATTGCCTCCTCCCCCCCGTCCCAGACTCAATTCACTTCCAGTCACAGACAACCCTTCCCCCCAATCCCTCCACCCCACACCAAAAGAGACAACCCATTCTCCAATGATGATCACCTGGTAAAAGGTCAGACCGCGAAAACCATCCGAAAACGTCGTCTCAACTCCCCCGCTGTGTGCTCACCTTCCAACCCAACCAACCAACCCAGCACGAGCAATCCAACAAAAAGAATACCCTTCCTCGAATATCCTCCCATTGCAAACATCACGGGAAAATCTCTTGCGGCTACCTGATTCCATTCCTTTCCTTTCCCGCTCTTCTCCATCATAAAGGCAGGCACAAGTTCTTGTTAAAGGCATAAAGGTTCTGGTCGAGAGGCTCACGACGTTGCTTTTTTTTACCTTGGAGAGACATGTGTACAACAAAACATTTACTTTCTTTGTTTCCAAGCCGCAATTTGGGGTTTCTGGTCCGCTTTTCTCCATGAGGAATTTCAGAAACTAATGGCTGCGGCGTACATTCAATTTTCTTTGAGTTAACTGCCGAATGGGAGATTTGCGGGATGGGGGGAATGGGTAGGGTGAAGCAGGGATTAAACTGTGGTTTTGTGATGGGCTCGGGGGTGGTGAATTCTGGGTGCTTTGGCTGGTGGTTGGGCTTTGGGTTGGGGGGTAGAGTACCGCGGTGGCGGCGTCTTTCTTGGTTGGATGATGACCAAATAAGAAACTGAAAAGACCTGAGGAGAATGCTCTTGCACTATTTCATTGTTTGTTGGAATTTGTTATCCTAGCCTAGTTAGGGCCTGCGACTATTATCAATGTCCATCATCCTGAATTGCAACTCCCGCGTATTTGCTACGCCACTTACACTGAGTCCTGTCTACAAGAGGCATCAAGCTCGATTATATGAATGTCATTCATCCCCTTCAAAATGCGTAAAACAAGTCGCCCTAGAACGCTTCCCCTCAAATCATCTCAATGTCATCCCGACAACTCACCCCCGTACTGTGCAACGTTTCTCCTATACCACTCGCTATGGCCTCTTCCACCCGTTGCTGTCCATCAGAACTCCCCTCTTCCTCCGGTTCGATTCCCCATGGGTAGAGATGGCAACGCAAAAGACATGCAAGACGAAGAAAGGAAAAAAAGAAAAAGAAAAATGATAAATCCCAGAACATCATTGGCATATAGCAATGAGTACCCCAGTAACTTGGAAAGTTATCGTAGTGGAATCCCTTCGTTGGCTTCCGTAAATCACTTCCAAGAAGCCGTATAGTATAGGCCTGCATCGGATGGCAACAAGGCCATCGGATGCCGAACTATTTGCCGACACACCAATCCCCAGAGGTCTCTCAACTTATAGCCCATGGCTATACTCCTATACACACCTGATCTGACTGCAATACTTCACACGAAGCTGCCACCTCGCCTGCCTTTTGTTAGCACGTACCAACCCATCGAGGGTACCGAGGAAAGCTTACCAGCAGGGAATCGCAACCCGCCAACCGGGAACACTCTAAGTCTTCCGGTGCACATAGCGCAGCGCATACGTACAATGTACAGATAGCTTTGGTAAACATAGTGAGGTTGTTGGTCGACGCGAGACGATTTGAGTCGCCAACGGTGAACAACTGGAGTTCACATCCAAGTGAAGCCTGAATTTCCAAAGAGGAACGGCGGTGTTTTGGGTCAGGTCGCTAAGCCAGCGATATGGCGTCTCACGCTTGTCAAGCGGGGGTGGTTCATTTCACTTCATCTGCTGCCTCTTGCGGTTGAGGTCCAGATGCGACAGTAGACGGGGGTTGAGCAGGCATTTGAGGAGGCATCTGCGGCATTTGGTTGTAACCGCTACTCGGTGTCCGATGCTGGTGGGGTGGGTAATGGTGCACTTGGTGGGGACTGGACTGGAAATGGGGCTGCTGCTGAGGGTAATTGCCGCGGACTGGGGGCACTATGCTAGTTAGCTACCTAACCCCTCAACGGTCTTCTGACTTCGTTATAACATACTGTGAGTAGGCTGCTGCGTCGGGTATACGGGCTGGCCATGCTGCCCAGGGGACATGAACATCACCGGTTGGGGGGGCTGACCGGGCTGAGAGTTCTGGTGCATCATCATGGGAGCACCCCGACTGGGACTGGGATAGCCACTGTGAGGCTGGGGCGGTGGCACATGTTGGGGATACGCGTGGCTAGGATTTGGGGAATACATCTGCATCTGGGGTGTATAGGGGGCCACGCCTTGAGGAACACCCATGTATGGTCCGCTAGATGGCTGTTGAACCATCATTGGAGCGCCCATGGTTGGTTGGGGGTTGACGAATTGGGGACCGCCCGGGTAATGTCTCATATGTCCAGGTTGTGTGCCGGCCTGGCTGACATAGAACTGAGGCATGGCTTGGCCAAATGCAAGCTGTGCATGTGGCGCCATGGGGGACGGGTAACCGTGCTGTAACCTGGGGGATGGGAACACTTGCGAGGTCGAGGCAGACATCTGCATGCGGTGGGGATCGTCGAAGTGTGGGGGCCCGGAATTATGATGCTGCTGAGGGTGCAGATGAGGCCCGTGTGGTGGACCAGTGGTGGGAGGCATGCCGGGAGTGTTCTGTGGGAACTGGAACGGCATCTGCGGCGGAGGCATCTGGGGATTGGACGCAGAGCGGCTCTGGGGAGAGATGGCCGGCACCGAAGCAGGCGGCTTGAACATTTCCAGGTAAGTCTTTTCTTCGTTTCCGGGAGCGGCATCCCAAGTAGGGGGAGTCCTGTAAGCAGGCGGGATGCCTCCATTGAAGGCGAATCCCTTTTCATTTGACTCCGCATTTTCCTTCTTCATGCGCTTAATGGGGTTGAACTGATCATTAAGGGACGGCCTCTCAGAAATCGGTCTTGGCTTCTTAGCCCCGAAGAACAACGAGGGGCTAGTGGTCCGTGAGACGGAGCGTCCTCGGGTGAAAGGAGATGAGGTGGACGAAGCACCGGGTGTAAAGGTACTTGCGGCGGGGTTTGGCTTAAACTCCAGGGCCCTCACGTTGAACTTGGTCGATACGGACGAGGTTGGTGTCTGCACCTTATTCGGGCTCGTAACAGCAGGCTGCTCGCCAGCTGGGCCAGTTGGAGGAATGCGAACTTCATTGATAGGCAAGGGAGCGGGAACAGTTCCCATCGCGGCTCCCTTTCGCTGCTGTATGTTATCTGCTAGACGATGGCCGAGCATGCCAGTGGCTTGACGGCCCTGGTGCACGGGCTGCTGCGGAAGCCGCCCACCCGGTCCAGCATGTGGACCGGTTGGGGGAAACATTTGACGACCCCGAGGATAGTTCTGGCGGTCAGCCTGTGCAGGAGGCGGCATCGTTCCACTCTCCTGGCGAGCGTTTCCAGATGGGCGAGCAGCGGGCTTCGAGTCAGCGCTTGCTGGGGACTTGGTCACAACCTTCTCCTCAGCGTGCTGCTGAGCTCTTTGGATGATTTCTTCCTGCTTGTGCGGGTCTTTAGCTAGGATGGGTACCAAATCCTTGGGCACTGGCGTTGCCAGTTTGAAGTTCTTGGAAAACTTCATAAGTTCGTTCAACTTAATGGTTCGATCATACGAAGCCTGGTTACGACGGCGCTCTTGCAACTTCGCCTTTTCACTGTGGGCGAATTGTCGGAAGGAGTCGAGAACCTCGGCCTCCACATTCGAAGTAGCATTTGCGGGAGCCGGGGCACCAGATGTGGTCTTGGACAAGGCAGGCTGCTTTTGTTCCGTATCGGCAGCAGAGCTTGCTGTTATACTGGACGGTGCAGGCTGAGCCTGGGCCTGCCCATTCTCCTTGGGCGGTCCGGCGGCAACAGCCTCTTTCGGAGCACTAGGAACCGGTTTGAGAGAGCTTGCGGGAGCTCCCGAGGCCATGGCAGATTGAGCGGCGTTTTGCCTGCGCGCTGGCGGAGTGTACTTATTTGGCTGGCCCGAAACAAGCGGCGGGAAGTTCCTCTCATCACGGCGGACACCGCTGTATTTAGCTTCCTCATCATGATCATCTGCCGATACCTGCCCTCTTTCCTCACGAACATGTGCATTGTCTGTAGTAGCGCCCTCGATTTCGCGAGCAATTCGAGCAGCATCTGCTTCCTTCTGTTTATAGGTAGGGTCCGACCGATCGATTCTAGTGGTGTAGATGTTCTCATCGTAACTGCTGGTAGCACCGAAGAGTCTGGCGTTTGCTTCGAACTGGTCCCATCCAGTTGAATTGTGCGCGCTTTCGAGTGAGAGGTCAACGTCCGTATCGGCGGCAGGTTCCCAGCGCTTGAGGGTCCGCTCGCGAATCGCAAGATTTCCGGAGATGTCAGTATCCGTTTTGAAACCTACAGGCGTCCCTGATACTTCGTTAGGATTTCAGAGTGGCCATCAATGTTATCAAGCTAGCCCGGTGACTTACCGTTCGCGCTCTTTGCTGTAACATCGGCCGGGGTGACGTTCGGGACCGAAATATCGACCACATCCTTGACATCGAAGGACATGCTATGATCCGGCGCCGACCCCATATACGGGCTTGAGACATCACTAACCCCATTCGCTTTGTTCTGATCCGCCTTGGTGGGCCGTTGCACCATCTTGAGTACGAATGAACAGTCGCTAGGTTCCAACGTCGAGGACGAAAAAATTCCCGTGTATTTATCCCCATTTCTTGTGGTAATCGTAGCATTCAAACCCTGAAAACCGTAAGCCTTTCACGTCGATACATCCCGGGTGTGGAACGCTGAGCTTACAATGAAGCTAGCAAACAAGAAAACAAGACGGTCATTTGCGTGGTTATCGGGGGTGTTTGACTCTTTCGGAGTCGGTCGAGGAGAGGCGGACTGTTTGTGAGACATGTTGCCGTTCTGCTGTGAGTACGAGGCCCGCTGTGTGATCGGGTTTGCGCCGTGAGACCAAGCTTTGGTGGAGTTACTGCGTCTATCATCAAAATAGAGATGGATTAGCCAATGGGCAATACAATGTCGTGGCTATCAGCAAAGAGTATGAGATGACGATAGTGCCCTTTCATCAGGCACGAGTCTGGTGGTAGAACAAGAACACGGGGTGAGAAAAATGAGGAAGCGAGGACACAATGACGCCAAACAGTCGTCAAGAAGACCCGACAGCCACGGAGGGCATTGACAGGAAACGACCCGTCCTGAACAAGGTTTAGAGGGAGGGGGGATGGTAACAGAGCAAACGACCGTCTTTTCGTGAGGCGACAAGCGGTGAGGAAAGGGCAATGGAAGCAAACGAGTTGAAAGGAGCTGGGAGGAATGAGGGATAACATGTTGACCTCACAACGTACCTCTGCCCGCTCTCGAGAGGACTACCGGATTGACGCCGGCCGCCCTCCGAAGCCTTCGTACTAGCACTGGATCTCAAAGAAGGTCTAGTACCGGGGTTCTGAGGATTCACGGCATTGCCAGACGCACTGTTGGCAGCCGGCACCGAGTTGACGGTAGAAGCCATCTGGCTGGATCGTCACCGAACGTAGCTCTACGTCGTCGCACGACGCAAAGCCGTAAGAAGTGCGGACGGAAGGCACGAAGCCAAAACACACCGCCTGCGCAAACAGGACCGAAGAAACGGTGGATGAAGTGGGAGGAAGGGATTTGGGGGGGGAAAGGAAGAAAGAATGGCGGGGTGGAAGGGGAAAAAGGGAAGCTGTGGTAGGAGAGCGAGAGCCCCGAACGAGTCACGGGACCGCCTTCTGGTGTTGAACGTTCACGGGAAGGGAGGAACAGAGAGAGACAGAGAGACAGAGAGAGACGGGGAAAGGGGAGGAAGGAGGGGAGACGCGGATCCGGGAGGAAAGACGGGAAGTGGAGAAGGAGGAGAAGAATGAGACAAGAAGAGAACACCAGAAGGAAACTGGCGAGAAGCAAGTAGTAAGTAGTAGTAGTGGTAATTGTAGGTAGGACGTCCCGGTCAAGTCAGGTTGCCGGCCGCAGGTAGTAAGTAGTAGGGAAGAAGAAGAAAGTAAACTACTACACAGGAAGAAAGAAGTTCAATGTTCAGATGGTACTGGTAGATCGATAGGTGGGTGAGCAGCAGCCACAAAAAGAGGAGACAAGCCAAAGACAAGCCAGCCAGACAGCTAACATCATCCACAGGTCAAAGGTCAAGTAAGGTTAGTTTTCTGTACGTACAGCAAAGGTTCTGGCTGGAGGGTTTAGCTTGTCAGAGGGGAATTTAGGTGGGCAAATCCCATGGAAATCCCAAGGGTCTTCCGGCCTTGGGTTGGTTGGCGGTTGGCAAGCGAGTGGGGAACGAAAGATGGCCATGGGAATGTGCACTTGCTTTTTTATCTACTCCGTATGTTCTTTCTTCTTTAGTTCTTTCCTCCCTCGTTTCACTTCCACTTTTCACCTTCATCTTTGGACTTTTTATTGCTGTGCTAGCTGATAAGCACTTGCTTCCCAAGTCTGGTGGAATACTAACTACTACATATCAAGTAGTAAGTATAATTATTTTGGAGGGCTTGTGACGGCCTTTCGTAATGCCTAGTCCCAAATAAAGAAGAAGAAGAAAAAAAAAAAAGAAACATAATTACATTTATTGGCCATCATCTTTCTTGCTCCATCATGAATGGGATTGCAAGTTGTGCGTGCGTGCGTGCGTGTAGGTGTGTGTGTTCCCACCTCGCTACTACTGAGACGCACCATGTCGCCTCACTCCACTTGCTTCTGCTTCCATCAGTCGAGTTGCCAATTTCAATGGACTCCTGCCCTTGCGGCCTGTCAGAATCCACTCGGAGTAGGCCCACTATTGCGCTGCATTGTGAATCCATATGAGTTCCGTTCGTATCTCTGATCCTAGGTCTGGAATGATCCCTTGCTGCATGGAAGCTCACTTCCATAGCCCATGCTCCCTCAGACCTTCTTGGTCCTTGTCTTTGCTGTCACCGCGTCTGAAAAGTCCATTCGGTACTTCTGCCATCCGAGTGCGATCGGTAAGTGCAACGGAGCTCAGGTTCGCTCGAGCAAGGGCGGCTGTCCTGCCAACACACCTAGCAATCACCAAAATTGGGCATTCGCGAGGTGGAGAGCCATTCCACCCCCGACTAACCCAGCTAGGCATCCGATCTATATAGAGTCCTCCACCAGGGATACTTTTCCAGACGTGCTTCCCTTAAAATCGAGATGCAGCGCCGTGCCAATTCTATCTACCTAGACATCTGTGCTGGATTACTGCAGCTGTCAGCATGATCATAAATTAGACCTTCGGGGCCAAGGAGATAGACGGCTAGCTTGATGATCGACCGAAACCATACTTGCATCATGCTTGCTGGGTGGTTTGTTTGGGGGATACTGGCAAAGCAAATCAGCGAACCGACTTGCGCTAAGGTCCTGCCTGATGGACAATCTCATTGACGCTTCAGCGCACTACCCACTTGATGCTATAGATATCACATTACTAAGAGACTAAGCGAATACAGTAAGAACTAAGGCAAGCGGGGCAATTGACCGGGCCATGCTAAGCATTATTAGGCTAGTTCATTATATTGAGCGCCTGCCCAGGCGTCCAGCGACTCATGACTTGTGCGCACAACGATGGATCGGGCCTGCTTACAAAGTATCATATTGTTGCTGGCGTTGAACCAGAAATAATCAATCAATGGAAATCATCGTTACGTAAGAGTGGCTCTGTCAATAGCCAAGGTAGACTTCATAGGAATCCCTTTCGTTCCAACTTGAGACAAGACAATCAATCGAGAGGCATTGCCATCACTAGTACAGTATGGACCAAAGTGCGCGAGGCCTCGTTAGGACAACTGTGTACAGAACCTTACGCAGTGTCACACAGGAAAGGATTTCCGGAAGCTTGATAGGAAGGGACCCTCCGGCGTTGAAACTCTAAGCCCAAGTTGGTTCTGCAGTCTGACATGGACGGCCAAGGGATCGGTGTCATCATGGGGAGGTATCCACACCAAGGGATGAGAAGGTTGAGCGCTGAAGAAACTCTCGTCTGAGGTGTATCAACAGTTGGGAGACGATTAAGCACTATTCAAATGCGTACTTGCATTCACCGCTGGAGGGCTTAAGCCCGAGATCTCTCTCTCTCTCTCTCTGTTAGTGGATTTACAGGGGAACTTGAAGGATGATACTTTGTTTGTAAGAGAGTACTAGTGTTGAACTGAGGCGCGGCTGAGGTGGATCCGGCGAAACCAAAAATCCCGGAGGCTGGTGCCAACATGTGACTTGGCGGGCGTTTGTCTTGTAGATGCCTCAGGCTGACACAAGTCTCGGAAGGCAGCGACGTTGAATTGCAGTCAGTCAGTCTTGCGCTGCTGGGCATTTCATTGCTCTGCTGGCCGGGAGACTAAACTTGTGCCCAAATTGGTCTTCTATCAGATCCCTTAGACTGCTTTAGTGCCAGTCCAACAGCATCACCACCACCCAAAACTACTACTACCACCACCACACTACTACCTTTCACCACCCCCCCTCGAAGAGGCTGGTTCCTTGGCTATAATTCCCGCTTGTCTCTCGCTACCTTTCTCGTGCGGACCCTTTTTTTCTTATCATTATTACCTTCCTGCTTTCTTTGTTGCGTATTCTTCTACGCCGCCTCCTTCTTTCTCCTGGTTGATCTCCCTCGTTTCTCCTCATCGTTTGTGGCTATTTCGATCCATCCCGCCGTCACTGCTCCCTCCCTCTTTCTTTCTCCCTTACACATACCTCTGAGACAATATTCAATCCCCAGCCCTTTTCGCGACCTTGCACACTGCATCCTCTTGTCGCTCCTAATATACTCGTGTCACAACTTATCAACTGCCACCGAAAAGAATAATTGTCCCGGATTCCCGCCTTGCACATATGCAGTCCGCCTCCAGCGTTTCCTCCCGCTCCCAGCGAAGTCCGTCAGCCCAGCATTTCCCATCCGGTTCAGGGAGCAGTGTGGAATCCGCCATGACCTCCGCACCACGCAGTTCGTCGAGCTCGACGAGGTCTCAATCCTCAAAGAGCGTGGTAGTAAGTGCTCCCCTCCATCGTGGTGGCATGCAGCCACTGCTTGGGTTTCCTCCAAGTCACCCCCCAGCCGTCCCACAAATACTCCGGCTGACCTCGTGGTGCGTCTGATCCACAGCCCGAGAAACAGATCAACCAAATCGAAAAGAGCGTCACCCATCTGCTGGTCGCCACGAAACAACTGCTAGAGACACTGACACAGTGGTCCCGCCGACAAGCCTCAGAGAATGAAGTGTCAGACGTCTACGTACGGCTGGGCTATGAGTTCAACCTGGCTTGTCGCGCCTTCAATGCCATCGGAGTTGACACCTCAGATCTTGGCCCCGTACCCGACCTCCTGCGTACGATCCTCGAAGATACTCTTAGCCAAGATGCATCCCCACAGAGTCTCGAGCGCTACCTCCCTCGAGTTCGCGACATCATCATCAACCTTCTACATGGACTCAAGAAAAAGCAGGCTCGACTACGTGCGCGGCAACAGAAGGAGGAGAGTAGGCCATTGCCCGGTCGGCATACAAGTGCAAGTAGTGCAACTTCGGCACAGGCGGCGTTGAATCAAGCATATGAGGACACTGCCTCCACGGTAACGTCTCCGAAGCGATCGACTCGGCGATTTGGCAGTAATGGCTCTATGGAGGATCCTTCCATGGCCCGGGCGTCTTCGGCGGCATCGGCTGATGTGCGAGGAGCGAGCTATTCTGAACGAGATGCGTCGAGGCGCGAGGCACAAAACATTCTATCGCAAGGATCTCAACCAGAATCTGGCGCAACTCCCAAGGGCTCCGTGACTTCGACAAACGCGCCACCTTATCCCACACCGCCCCCTCCGCCCGCCCCGAAACAAGACGATGCTCTCGGTGCTCTGCAGAGAAGCGGGGAGCTGGAACGTCGAGCCTCGCGAAGGTTTTCGGCCTATCAGATACAAAAGCATCTGGGAACTTCGTCAAGCGGTGTTCCAGTCCTCCCGACCCAAAACTCCCCGATCCCGAATCGGGGACGTGATGTTCGTGAGTCGCTGAACGCTGTGCGTCTACGCGGGTCAGTCCATGGACGACAGCGATCGACAAATCGGCTGCATGACGCAAAGGTCGCTTCACAGGCGCCTGCGAGCGTTCCCAGTATCGAAGAGGAGCGCCCAAAATCTCGCGTTGGGTCACCTGCAGAACTTCCAGTGGAGGGCGCTACTGCCGCCAAAGACAAGTCTGTTGAACGCCCTGGGAGTGGACCAGCAGATCACCCGGCTATTGGACGGCAGCCCGATCTCCCACGACCTTCTGAAGAGCCGTCCCTCGCGGAGGCATTTGAACCCGTAAAGGATGCTGCCCCTACCGCGGCGGTCCGCCCAGGAACGCCTAAATCTGAACGTCAGGAGCTAGCTGTGTCTGCTTCTACTCCACCTCAATCAGTCCAATACTCCCCTGAGCAGCAGTCCCCAGGCAAGGAGCTCACTCTATTCCTCCAATACAGAAGCAAGATCAAGAAATATGTTCTCCCAGA